CCCCCCGTCACCTCAGAGAGAGGAGGTTACAGAGCGCAGGCCCCTTGACACGAGGCGGCCAGCAGTTAGTATGCTGAAGCCGGATGGGGCTGCAGCCCTGTGGCCCCGTCTGCACGCTGCTGCCGTACCTGCAGCAGATGCTTCTCCTTTGATTTGGTTGATTCTCTCTGGTTGCCAGATCCTTTTGGCATCCTTCCTGATTTTAGCAGGACATCTCAACTGTGATTTTGCCCGTTTCCTTCCATCATGAAAGGCATCCCCATCTGGTGCTTTGTGCAGCCTCATCAAGGTTTAAGCCAATGCTTTTATTCTGACTGACCTGAAGCCTATACAGTACATGACATCATCCTCATATATAAGGCTTACTTGGGCCTGTGGTTTCCATGGAAACGTGAAATTTACACATTATGGTTTTATGTTTTTATTTAGTTGGGAGATTTTTTATTCAAAAAAGGGAAGGATCTTGCAGTTCAGAGAGTAATTTGGGGCTATGGGATTTGCTCAGGGGCCTAGTGATGGAATCACTCTGCCACTACTGGGCTTTGAACCAGCAACTTTCTGATCAGAGACAGTTTTCCTAACCTACAGAGCTACACCATTTTAGCTCTGGTGTAGAGAGGTGATGTCATACAAAGAGCAGGTTCTGATTGGTTCTGCTTCTGCTTGTGATTCAAGCAGTGGATTGCAGACTAGAACCCCGACACAGAGTGCAGCTGCACCCATGGTAGTCACTCTTCCTGCCTGCTCTGAGCGTGTCTGGAGACGGTGGCCATGTGTGTGCGACTAAGTATATCAGGTGAAACGTGTCTGCAGACAGGCTTCAAACGAAATGATAGTGAATCATCTATACAGAGGACTAAGTCCAGCAGGGTGGCATTGAGACCCACAGGTGGACAGCGCCCCATGCAGGCCAATCTGGGTCCTCCGTGCCAGGTTCGCATGGTGTGACCCTAGTGATGACATCCCCAGGTGCATCGTCCATGCTTTGAGAGACCCAGACGCGTTCACGTCTGACGACCTTCTGGCTCCGAAGCCTGCAAACTAAAGGGCTTGATGCCATGATGGCAAGGAGTCAACATTGGCAGGAGTATCCCTACGATTTGTTGTTTCCTGCTGACTTTTATGGATCAAGCTAACAATTCAATGTTCCTTAACTCTGTATCATCTTTCCCAATGTGCATCGCTTTGAACAAAATAATATAGGTATATGTGGATTTAAGAATGGTGAATCTACTGGGTGAAACTGTACTGCTTTTGGGCACTGTGCACCTCAGAAGGTTAAGGCCCTGTGCTCGTGTCAGAAGGTCATGGGTTCGGATCCCATGACTGGCAGAGTAATCGAATCACCATTGGGAACTTAAGCAAGGTCTTAAACTGCATCAAGCTGACTGTCCTCTCTGGTCATCACTTGTATGTTGCTTTGGACAAAAGTCTCTGCTAAATAAATGCATTTTTTCTTTGTGTCATTCTCTCTATCTTGGCCCAGAACCATTTTTGTAAGTACCAAGCTAGCAGCTTATGTCAGGTTCTACCAAAGCAACAAAGACTCTGTAGATTCCTTTGCTTAGGTGATTTGCATGATGAGATGAGGTTCTGCCTTCTGCAGCTAAATGAATGAACCAGTATCCATGGAAACCACCGCAGGTAGGAGGACACCTCGTGGGTGACCAGTGCCCATCCTTTTCTGGGCCTGTCACACGAGCAGGACATGGCAAAGGTGAGACCACTTACCTCCATGGGGGTGGCAATGAACCAATTCCTTCCATGCAGCGATCAGCCTGCCAAACCCACTAAATGCACAACAGTCACTCAGGCACCTTACACAGAACTCCAACATGCTTTCAATCTAAACTTTACATTTCCCAGGTGTGTTAACTTAACTGGGCTTTCCCCAGTATCACGTACCATGTCGGAAGACCATCAATTTGTATCTGTATTTATATAATATAAAAAATAAATGGCATGTTAGTTTTATGCACGTCCATCCATCCATTATTGTAACTGCTTAATCCCCACTGGGGTCATGGGGGGAGGGGCGGAGCCTATCCCAGGAACCCTGGGTGGGCACCAACACACCACAGGGCACACACACTCACCCATCTACGGGGCCAATTTAGACGCCAATCAGCCTGCCCTGCAACGAACATGCAAACTCCACACAGAAAGGACCCAGGATTGATCCACTGTGCCACTACCAACCCTGTCTTGGGCATCTATATATGTTTATTTTATGCATGTATATGTATGTTTTTCACCTAAAACCTAGTGCTTAGGGCCATACACTCAAAGAAATCTCCCGCCACAACAATCAGAAAGAGTCTTATCTGTATGGGAGGGCTGTGACCTGATTCTGTGATAGTCGAGACTCCACCTACTTTGTTGTTATTGAAACTGGCCCTGACACCAAACAGAATGCCGGTTGCAGTCTGTCGTGCTGTTGATTACGCTTGATGAATGTGTTACAGTGTCTCATCCGTCAGGTGTTACACAGTACAGATGTTTGCAGGATCTTAATTAGAAGCTTCTGTCCTCTTGGGATTCAAGGCTTGTATGGGCAGCTTAGGTGCAGCATGGTTACTGAATTCCAGGAAAGTTCTGGGATTGTTTCTAGGTTAGGAATAGTTATAAGGAGAATTGAAAACGTGACTTAAAAACTGGGTCACCAGAATTAGGTCTGAGAGTTAATTACCTATGAATATGTAAATCAGCTCATGCAGAAACAAGTCTTTCAGGACGTAATGCAACACTGCCCGAATGCTTGTGGGGAAGCGTCCTTTCATCTACCCATTTCCCCCAAACTGTCCCTGCAGCTTACAAACCACCTAGATCAGCGTTTTATTTGACCGGAGCTGATGCTGCTGTCGTGCGGGGAAGGGGGGAGGGGGCGTGCCTCTAGCAGCAGGGTGAGATTTGATGAAGCTCCCCTTTTACCGTACGGAGCCTGAGGAGGAAAACCAGCATGTCAGGCCGCTGCTCAGTGTTTCGGGCTTAGTGATCGTGCTTTAGAGGGATATCCGGCTCCTTTCCCGGTAGCATAGGGCTTCTCCGGGCTCCCTTCTCGTCGCCATTGCGCAGCCCCGGCCAGGTAGGTCGCGCAGAAAGCGCTGCGATCGCAGCTGCTGTAGGAAACGCGAAAGCGCCCATGATGCCTCCCAGCATTTCATCACCAACATCTTCCCGACTCTTCGCCACGGTTCCTCCGGAATATTTTTACCCGTAAATCGTTAGTTTACTATATATATATTATCCGACGGTAACCTTCAACGTCGCGGGTATTTTAATTGCTATACGGCGAAGTAAGTGGGCTTTTAATTAATTGATTTATTTATTTTTAAGTGAGTACCCGCAGAAAGCCCTTCATACAGGCGAGCCTGCTCTGTATCTATGTATGTACGGCGAGCTTTTATTTTTACTAATCACCGTTTTGTTCTGCCGTAGGTGGGAAAGCAATGTTCTTATGTTCATTTTTATTGTGCCTGTTTTTTCCCTGTGCAATTGCGAGGAGGTTAACGCAGGCGACTAGTGAAGGTGAGATCCCATGTTTTTATATATATACTGTGTGTGTGTGTGTGTGTGTGTGTGTGTATATATATATATATATATATATATATATATATATATATATATATA